TGGTGAGCCCTGCCCTTTCCAAGGAGTTAGATCATTTAAACAAGAAATAAATATGGAAATAAAAAGCATTTTCAAGCCCTGCTTGCCCCCACACCCTCCCTGGGCACCTGCACAGGGATTTCTGTGCAATTAGACACACACACCCAGCAAGGCCACGAGGGTTATCTAACCCTCAGGAGGAAATATTTGTAAATAGAGTCAGGATTATGTAAGATTGAGCCTAAAAAAAAAATCACTTTATATCTCCTGAGACCCTAAAAGGATGTGGGATTTCTTGCTTCCTCTTCCCCTGCTCTGACACTTTGCACATCCCAGGTGCAGGGAAGTCCTGACCATAGTTCAGTAATTCAAAACTGCTTGAAATCAAGTTTATTTTTAACTTTTAAAATTATAAAAGTGGATAAAACCTCCCCTTCCTTCATGTCTGAGATGGGCAGGGGGGATCTGACCATGCCATGGGGTGAAAATACTAAATTTCTTTGGTTTTTAAGCTCCAAATGTGACTGACGGCCCCAAAAGATTTCCAGGAGCAGTTCTGGGGCAGGAAAATCCCGGGGATGAGCTTTAAAATCCACCAAAACCCACAATTTCACCAAAAATTGCCAGTTTTGGACCCAACCAGCACTGAGCACGAGGGGCTTCGCTGCACTGGGATCTGATGGTTTGGAAGGGGAAATTTGGGCTTTGAAAAGCCAAATCCAACCTGTGATGGGGAAATTCAGAAAATCCAACCCATGGGGGATGGAAATTCAGACACTGAAAAGCCAAATCCAACCCATGGGGGGGAAATTCAGAAAATCCAACTCACAGAGGGGGAAATTCGGACACTGAAAAGCCAAATCCAACCCATGATGGGGAAATTTGGAAAATCCAGCACACAGGAGGGGGGATCTGGACACTGCAAATCCAAATCAAACCCTGGGGTGAATTTGGAAAATCCAACCCCATGGCAGGGGAAATTCAGAAAATCCAACCCACAGTGGGGGAAATTTGGACACTGAAAAGCCAAATCCAACCCACGGGGGGGATGATATTTGGGGGAGGAGAACCCCGGGAACGATGGAAAAGGAACCGGAGCACCTACCGAGAAGAGCGTGGAGTAGGTGGAGAGGGCAAATTTGATGCTGTAGTAATAGAGGTGGGAATTCTGGCACTGGGAATCCTGGGCCATCTCTGGAGCTCCTTCCTGGCCGGTTCCTGAGGAAAAATCATGCACAGAAACAAGGCTTGAACTTGAACTGCTCGTTCCAACTTCCGCCTGGCAGGAGCCGGAGCAACCAGGGGGAAGGAACAGGTTTAACCCTTTGCTGAGCTGGGGTTTTCCTGCCACAGCAAAGCTCAGCTTAAGCTGGGGTTTAGATCAATTCCTACCCCAAAAATTGGCGGATGTCGAACAAATCTTTAACGGGGAAAGTGTTGCAATCCCGGTGAGGTGAAACAGGGTTGAAATCCTGCAGCTCCCAGGAGTGATTTCACAGCAGCAGAGGGGGAAGTGGAAGCCCCAAATCTGGGAAAAACAGGGGAAAATTCCCCACAGGAGATCAGTGGGAGCCCAGAATTGTCTGGAGTCACCTGTAGTGCCTTGCTGTGGGTGCAACACCTGTGAGGAGGAAGGAGGA